TTAAAAAAAAAAAAAAAAAACCCCCCCGAAAAAGAAAAAACCAAAAAAAAAAGAAAAAAAAAAAAAAAAAAAAAAAAAGTAAATCAGCTTTTGCAGTAATGACATACTTTATTATTGGGATCTGACCCTTTTGGCTGAAAGTTGTTAAATTGGCTACAGTTAAAAATCTAATTACAACTGCTGCCAAGAAAAGGTTTTTATTATCCTGAAACCATTTTTGTGTTAAAAGTTATTCAATAGCTCAACCAAACGAATCGCACATCTATAAATCCTAAGTTAAATTATGCAAATGTTTTTGTTATTTAATCCTGACAGCATGATGTTGCCACCACTGTGTTTTTTTTATGTGTTAATGGGGGATTTGCAATGCTTCCTTTGCATGTAGCTAAGCCAACAATTTCAGTTTTGGTGTGTTTTTCATGTGTTTAGTGTGCTCTGTTTTAATCCCAGCTCTGCTACAAACCTCTCCACAACTTCATCTGTGACACATCCAGGGGACACGTTGATCTTCATTACCAAATTTTTGAGCCCTTAACAGAAAACATGCATTTAATACTGAGAATAAATTCAATGCAGATGGACTCTTTCTGCTAATAAGGTGATTTCTAAAGCCTTGTGGTTCTCCCAGATTTTAATTATAGGAATGAGAATAAAAGAAACAGAATATTCCATACACATTACATTTATGCTCTCCTGATACAATAAAAGAAGGCTTGTGGTTGTAGCGTGACAAAACTGTGAAAAAATGTACCATAATACGATTGTAAGGCAACATAGCTGTTAAAGCAACTCTGCTCGACTAAAATGTTTACTTTCTAAATTCTCAGACTGAATTTCTTGATAAGTTCTTGATCCTGAAGCTGCAAAAACAAAGTCAGGGGGGGATTCATGTCACTAAAAGATTAGCATTGCAGCCACTCCCCACGCCATGAATTATATTTAGAGCTCACCAACACGTCAGCTTATCTGCTGGACTCTTCAGCTGCCTCTCAGTTCAAAAGAAA